ATTTTAGTCAGAGTCCTCCCTCTTGATTAGTTTCTTTAGATGTACAGATTTTAGTAGGTTTAGCCTATATTATATGTCTATATGAGTGAGTATAAACTGTGTGTGTCTTTCTGTTTCTGGGACAGCTCACTCAGGATGATCCTTTCCAGGCCTCACCATTTACCTGCAAATTTCATGATTTCCTTGTTTTTCATTGCTGAGTAATATTCCATTGTGTAGATGTACCACAATTTCTGTATCCATTCTTCAGTTGAGGGGCATCTGGGTTGTTTCCAGCTTCTGGCTATTACAAATAAAGCTGCTACAAACATGGTTGAGCAAATGTCTTTATTGTGTACTTGAGCCTCTTTTGGATATATGCCTAGGAGTGGTATGGCTGGATCTTGAGGAAGCGTTATTCCTAGTCGTCTGAGAATTCGCGACAGATTGGGAAAGAATCTTCACCAACCCTTTATCTGACAGAGGGCTACTATCCAGTATATATAAAGAACTAAAGAAGCTGAAAAACAACAAACCAAGTAATCCAATTAAAAAATGGGGAACAGAGCTAAACAGAGAATTCTCGATAGAGGAATATCGAATGGCAGAGAAACAAACATTTAAAGAAATGCTCAACCTCATTAGCCATCAGGGAAATGCAAATCAAAACGACCCTGAGATTTCACCTTACACCCACCAGAATGGCCAAGATCAAAAACCAAGTGACAACACATGCTGGAGCAGTTGTGGAGAAAGGGGAACCCTCCTCCACGGCTGGTGGGAATGTAAACTTGTACAACCACTCTGGAAAAGAAGTCTTAATACATAGGGCAATTTAGTGCAAGCGAAGGTATGGATATGTGTTGTCATGCTGCCCTCTAGTGGTCATTGCCTCAATGCTGGATCCAGCACAGGCTAGCAGGGATGAAAACAATTGGGTGATGATGATGGTGGTGGTGATGGTGATGATGGTGATTTAATTTTTTCTTGTACTCTCTGCAGAAGTTTCAGTTTTCCATGAAAGACCCTGAGAAGTGGAAATGTTTCCTAGGACAGTGGTATTCATGTGTAGGCAAACAAATCTACAGACATCTTTAAGGACCATAGAAAGCTGAGAGGATCCCGGCCAAGTGTGTATGTATTTAACCTATACAGGTAAATCTCATTTTCTCAGAGTTACATTCCAAATAATGCATATCAGAATTAAAATTATTTCAAGAAGTCATTTTCTAAGTCTGAATGAAAATTACTACTACAAATGAATTATCATTAATTTAATAGAATTAACGCAGAATTAAATAGAAATAACTCCATGTTGCTCAGTATGTGAAAGAGATACTCTGAAAGGGAAACTGAAAGTCATTTTGAATGATAGTGGAATTATATCAATTACTGATGAAGGGCAGAGGAAATTCTCAGGCACACACACACACACACTTAAAACACTTGCACATCCACAAGTCCTAATAGCATGTAAGATATAGACCACCCTAAAAAGTTGATTACCTAACATAGATCTTTATACAGTTACTTCATTTGCGCCAGAAACCCACTACTCAATAGAACTATTGTTTCTACAAATCACTACTGTTAGGTATTGAGCTATACTCACAATTGAAATTTGGTTAGGTTTACTTTGTCTTTCATGACCTTGATACCTGAGGAATACAAGTCCATGCGCGTTAACTGTCCCTCTGTTTGGGGTTTTCTAGTTTTTCAGATTCAGATTGTGCTTTTCTGAAAACATCACAGATAGATAGATAGATAGATAGATAGATAGATAGATAGATACATACATACATACATACATACATACATAGGCAGGTAGATATATAAACAAATACATGTATACATACACATGCATATACATACATACATACGTAGGCAGGTAGACGATAGGTAGGTGGATAGACAGATAGGCAGGTAGAGGATACATGGATGATAGATATATAGTACCACAGATGATACATGATAGATACATAAACAGGTGATAGATAGATAGATAGATAGATAGATAGATAGATAGATAGATAGATAGATAGTACCTCTTTCCAGGTTGGGTTTGATGTTGATATTGGCCTGATTTGTAATAGTAATTTTCATTACCACTAGTAGATTTCCAGTGTCAAGTTTGTGCTTATAACAAAAGTGTACTTAATGGGCTACTTAGTCTCTGTGTGTGTGTGTATGAATAACGTTATGAGCTTCTTAGACTCTTACTCTCTGGCTTTAGCATATAGTGACCACTTTTTCCTAAATGAATGATTATTCCACTGTTTGCCAAATGGTGATATTTCTCACCTCATTCCTTCTATATTTATTAGTTGGAATTTTAATGCAAGGAAGAACTCTTACTTCAATTTTTCAAAATATTCTTTTATTTCACTGTGGCCTTAAGTATTCTTGTTTAGTACATTATAAGATGTTATACCGGTGCTTAGGTTGAGCCATCTGTAGTCAATTCCGGCCTTTTCCAGATGACTTCAGGCACTCTCTGTTATGTCTCACCATTCTCTAAGAACGGATTTCATTTCTGGCACAAAATTTTTCAATTCCATTTGTACATGATCTGCCCCTGTTCTAGAATCAACCATTTCTCCAAAGGGTCATAGTTCTTTGTTTTTCGAGACAGGGTTTCACTGGGCAGCCTTGGCTGTCCTGAACTTGCTTTTTAGACCAGGCTGGCCTAGAACTTACAGCCATCTACCTGTGCCTGCTTCCTTGAGTGCTAGGATTACAGGCGTGCACCACCGCAAAGAATGGTGCTCAAGAAACTGAGATCTTGCAGGTGCTGTGTGCTCTAGTGTCCCACTCCTCCTCAGCAGACAATGCTCAGGAAAAGCTATAGATAGGTAGACACATAGATCATTTTCCCCAGAAATTCTCTGCAACAGAAACAACTGTAAATGCGATTAGGTTTTAAATGTTATTTCTGCTAGAAATACTCTCTTTATCCCATAAGACATCTCTGCAAACATATATACATCTCCTATACCTCACAAAGATGGAGGAAGACCAGAGTGGTCATTGGTATGGATGTAAGCCAATTGTGCCCTGAAAACAACAGCTGATCCAAAATACACAAGCAGCATTACAACTGCAAAGTTGGGAACTTAAATGTCAGTTATAGCGTATGTGAAAAGACAGTGCACAGCTGTAGGACTCATTATTCATCTAACACATGCTCACTAAGTACTATTCGACACTTCAGTCTATGCTGTGGATACAAATACTAAAATACAGTACCCAGAGTCTAATGAGGTGAGCAAATTTGGAAAGCTCCGAGTATTAGGAGGTCACTTACTAAGAGTCACAGAAGGGACACCACTTGGGATCACTTTACAAGGAAGGATTTTTGATATGTACAAGGATCGGGGACATACGTAAAACTGTTTGGCATGGTATGCATAATCAATATTGTATAAAATTATGCGCAACTAATGTTCAATATGGATTATTACATGATGTACACAACTCAAAAACTTGTGTAAAACTGAAGAAAGGAGGTAATGAGAAATCCCCGTGAGGTGGTGCGTCTGTTTCCATGGCAATGTTACTAGATTTCCCTCATTTGAAGTAATTTTTAAAGGATTTACTTGCTTATGTATATGAGTGTTCTGTCTTCATGTACACCTGCACAACCAGAAGACGACATGAGATTCCATCATAGACGGTTGTGAGAGTTGCTGGGAATTGAACTCAGGAACTCTGGAAGAGCAATCGATGCTGTTAACCGCTGAGCCATCTCTCAAGCCTCTTTGAAGTAATTTTTATGAGCGGGAACTGGTAGCATTAACAGCTTTACATTAGTAACGTCGTGAAAGAAAATTAGTACTCGGAACTGGAATCAGGACACAGGTAAGGAGGCCAGGTCTCCAAAAGACTTCCTGGCAGCTGGCCTCACGAGACTGTGGGAGCACCGCGGCAGAGGACGGCCTCGAAGGCTCGCCGAGGGGCGCTGCGCCCCGGGTTTCCCCACTGCTGGTGACTCACAGCCGAAGGCGGCGCCTGGGGCCGAGGCCGCCCAGGGGAGAGGGCGCTGGAAAGGGCGACGCTAACTGTTTTCAACGCAGCAAACGCCGCGCCGGCGGGACCGCGAGCCCGACCTCGCCCGTAGCAGGGATCCCCGCAACGCCCGAGTCCCTGCTTCACTTCGTGAGCACTTCGAGGGTGACCCCTCTTTCCAGGCGGCCTTGCCTCCCTCATTCATTCATTCGCATTCATTAGGTCGCGCACCGCTGCTCCTCCCCCCACTCCGCGGAGCCCCGGGGCGCCCGGCGCCTGCTCGAGGCTGGACATGACCTCTTCTCAGAACAGAAAATAAAATACGAGCGCTCGGGACTCGTTTACGGCTCCGCGGCCGGGGCCGCGGCCACGCCTCCATCTCGGTGGCCACGCCCCCAGCCCCGGCCGCCGCGGCCGCA